AAGAAAGGCCAGGGACTGAGATCATACACGGTCGAATGGAGGGAGGAGAGATGAAGGGAGGAGGAGAGGGAAGATGACGTCAACTCGATGTGTCCAAAGATAGTATCTTGAAATGTCAGAGGTAGCGAAAATCCGAAATGTCACGAACACAGTGTCTCACAATGTCTCAGATATCAATCTCACAATGTCAAGTACATCTTCAGAGGAAGATGAAATCAGATCCCAAGAGCAGTCCTCAACCTACAGTCCCAATGTCGCTGTCTCCAATATCATCAGAAGTCGTAACCATCCTTCATACTCGTAGTAGTCCCGTAGGAGAACCCAGGAGTAGACTTAGACTGAGAAGGTAGGGGGGGGAGAGAGAGAGAGAGAGAGAGAGAGAGAGAGAGAGAGAGAGAGAGAGAGAGAGAGAGAGAGAGAGAGAGAGTGTGCCTGTCTCTTATACACATCTAGATGTGTATAAGAGACAGNCTCTCTCTCTCTCTCTCTCTCTCTCTCTCTCTCTCTCTCTCTCTCTCTCTCTCTCTCTCTCTCTCCGCACACACCCCTTACAAAAAAAAACAGTATCTGCGCCCCAGCACAGACACCCCCCTAACCTCTGCACCCCCCACCCAGACCAAAATATTATTGCAGATTCGGGGTCCTCTCGCCGAGAGCAGAACGACCCCGGTTTCGAAAAAGAAATAAAAAAAATTCTGGGCGTTTTTTTTGTCAGGCCCAACCGGGTGGGCCCAGCCCGGCCGGGCGGCGTCCGCACTCAGAAAAAAAGAGGCTTGTAGATCTTTTGGAGATCTTTTTTTTTTTTTTTTTTTTTTTTTATAAACAAAACAGCTGCTTCTATTCTGGGGGGCATCAGTCCCCAAACCCACTTCCCATACCATAGCCTCCCCAGGGATACTTCTGTTGGTCGGGAAGCTTCCTAGCAGCACCCAGCCACGCAATAGATGGGTCCCCAGGGAAGGCCTGGCCCACGGGGGCTGTTCTAGCAATCTCACGGGTCTCTCATCCTGTCAATCCCTCCCTCTATACACCCGTAAAGGTTGTCTAAACCTCGTCTTATTCTTGCAACAATCACCCTCATATCAATCTCCTTCTCTATTCCACGCTCTTTTTTGCACCTACCACCGAATGCCTCTTACACTCACCCTCGTATCAATCTCCTTTTCTATTCAACGCTCTTTTTTGCACCTACCACCGGATGCCTCCTATATCCTTAAGTCTCATCTACTTCTTAAACCTATCTCCTTCGTCTTTAGTATCTCCGCCACTGATCAAGCTTTCCAATCCTCAGATATTGACCTGGCCTTTATTTACCCGCCCTCTGGTTCAAAACCGGATCTAAGGCCCATAGGCCTCCATTATTCCACCTTGAGAAACCCTTTCTGAACACCTAAAGCCAGTAGGCCACCCTTATTTTAACATGTTTGAGTCTTGTCCCCAGCAGTATATTCAACGCTCCAATACAGTCCGTATCCATTCCTCCTAAAGCCAGTAGGCCACCCTTATTCTAACATGWTTGAGTCTTGTCCCCAGCAGTATATTCAAMGCTCSAATACWGCCCGTATCCATTCCTCTTCCTTCCCTTTTATCATTTATCCCAGTTTTAGCTCCCCCTCCCATTTCCCCCTTTACCCCCTACCATCTACCTAGCTCCCTCTACCCAAGTGTCCTCCCATTCCCCTTACAGCCTACCTACCCAAACCCCTATCTATTCTATCGACTGACTGCTGGACTCAGCGAAGGTGGAATGAACAATGCAACATCATGGCGGCCTTGCCAGACCAGAAGCGGGCGGGCCTGCTATGGCAGATTTACCATCTGCCAATCCCGACTGCGCAGTGGCAGGCTACCAAAAGTTGTCATAAGGGCCAAACTTGTGCTGCAGATTGAGGCCAGGTCAAAATGGTCCCCCACCTCTTTGTTCGATGTCCAAGGGTGCAGATGTTTTGGGAGTGGTGGGCGCAGGAAATGGCAGATAAGACACCGTTACAGGTGGATGAAACGACCGATGCAGATATCCTTCTGGGTACCTTGGTTAAGGCAAATAGACAGGGCATGGCAGAAATTGTGGTGGAAGAGATTGTAAGGGCAGCTGTGTTATGGGCCCTGTGGACATTGAGAAATGAAAGATGTAGGCAAGGAATGTCTCCGCACTTCGGGCCTATCAAGAGAGGGCACTGGAGAATATTCGCATTGCTATATTGGCGGATCTGCATCGAAGTAGACGCATAGGGGAAGCAAAGGTGACAGGCTTTTGGCAGAGATGGGCCCCGTTCCCGCAGATGCTGTCTCAGGACCTTAGCACAGGGCAGCTGCAGTTCAGACCAACACATCTTTTGGAGATCTACTACCCCATTGTTTATTTTTTGTTTTTTTAAGTTCATATGTAATTAAAAAAAATGAAAAACACCCTCCTTTGTAGCAGCACTGAGTCGAGTGAGCGTGACGTACAGAAGACAACATAAAAGAACTTTCCGCTCGGGCAAGCAGCCCCATTCTCCTGGGTCAAGTCTCAACAGAAGGGACTCTGAGAGGGTCTTCTTGATGCAGCGCCACACGTTCAGATGGAAATGGAAGTCTCCCATCCTTGTTCCCCTCTTTTTGTTACTCTCACTCATTTTGCTGTTCTCCACCTCTTCCACATACCCGATGTGGGCACTATCGCTAACTGCCATAGCCAAATCATTCCCCTTTTTCCTCCTCACCCTTTTTAGCCACGAAGGTCTTCTTCAATCCCAAGCTCTCCCTTCACCTCCAACTTGCTCTGTCACATTCTCCCTCTTGGCAGAGCAGCAGCACGACCGCCATAGCGACTCTCGGAGCACTGCCTCGGGGATATAATCCAATATCTCCATGATCTCCTATCCACACAGCTTCTGAACCTAACCAGCTCATCTCCAGGCATACCGGTCTTGAAAAGAGGTGGTAACATCGTTGCAGGCTGTCAGCCTACCTAATACGGGATGTATCTAGCCTGGTATTGGCCCAGGTCAGGTCTGGTACCTTCATTATACCTAGCTTTCGTCTTGCTGACCTGCAGGGCCCTTCTGAATTACTGAAAAATCCCTACTACCCCAGCAGATAAAGGGATTGAACATGCACTCATCAAAGGGCAGTGTATGCTAGGAAGTCACAGCGTGTTCTGACAACTAACTGCGATGATCGTTGCATCTGAAGGATTATGTCTCACCACAGCCTGCTACCCCATTCCATTTCTCCTAGCAATTCAGCGAAAGAGGAAGGAAAACTGCTGCATACTCGTGAAACACAGTCATAAGTATGGCGCAGATTCCCAGAACCGACCAGATAAAACAGAGTTAATACAAATACAGCGGAAGAGTTTATACCCATGGACTGACTCTGACCTGACTCAGACTGCAAGCGAACACCCTCAATCATGCATCCGTGGTGTGAAAGCCCTGGCCTTGGACATGGAAGAAAGGCCAGGGACTGAGATCATACACGGTCGAATGGAGGGAGGAGAGATGAAGGGAGGAGGAGAGGGAAGATGACGTCAACTCGATGTGTCCAAAGATAGTATCTTGAAATGTCAGAGGTAGCGAAAATCCGAAATGTCACGAACACAGTGTCTCACAATGTCTCAGATATCAATCTCACAATGTCAAGTACATCTTCAGAGGAAGATGAAATCAGATCCCAAGAGCAGTCCTCAACCTACAGTCCCAATGTCGCTGTCTCCAATATCATCAGAAGTCGTAACCATCCTTCATACTCGTAGTAGTCCCGTAGGAGAACCCAGGAGTAGACTTAGACTGAGAAGGTAGGGGGGGGAGAGAGAGAGAGAGAGAGAGAGAGAGAGAGAGAGAGAGAGAGAGAGAGAGAGAGAGAGAGAGAGAGAGAGTGTGCCTGTCTCTTATACACATCTAGATGTGTATAAGAGACAG